CTGGGTATTGTGGAGGCCAAAAGAGGACGATGTTGACAGCTGACAAGAGTATCAGAACCTACTGAAGCCAAGGTGAGGTGAAAGCAGCTTATGGAATTTCTGCTCTGCTGGTCACTGGTGACCTTAGCACTGTGGTGTGGGGTGGCAGCAGATGAACTAGTTAGACCCAAGTAGGTTGAAGGATGAGTGGGAGCAAATAGCGAGAGTGTAGACCATTACCAAGTAATTCCAAAAGATACTATGAAACAGGAAAATATAAGAAAAAATATTAAAAAGTGAAGTGAGCATGTGATATAAAAGTTGCTAGCGTGCTGAAATGCATTTTCAATTCAGGATGAGAGATTAAGAGAGCAGATACACTATGGGCCTTGACGGGGAAATCCTGTAAACCTTTAAAATGATAATCCTTTGAATTCCTGACCTCCAGGTGTTATATTGTCAAAGGACAAAAGAGATTATGCCCTTATAAAAAGATTTTAAAGGATTATCCAAAGACTTGGCAACACAGAATTCTTACCTGGAGAAAGGTAAATTACACGTTGCAGATAAGTAATCAGATAATTTCCCTGTGTCTAGGGGACAGAAAAAGCCCGATATGCTTAAAGTTTCTAGGAGACTACAAAATAAGCCATCTTCTCATAGAACTTTTGGTATGTGTCCTTTCTTAAAAAGAGAAAAGGTAGTGTATATATGTCCATGCCACTCTCTCACTTCCAAATGTAAAATAGCTAGTGGGAAGCAGCCGCATAGCACAGGGAGATCAGCTCAGTGCTTTGTGACCACCTAGAGGGGTGGGATAGGGAGGGTGGGAGGGAGATGCAAGAGGGAGGAGATATGGGGATATATGTATACATATAGCTGATACACTTTGTTTAGACAGCAGAAACTAACACACCATTGTAAAGCAATTATACTCCAGTAAAGATGTTAAAAAAAAATGTAAACTGCTATGGGGATGTACTAGTGTTCCCACTGAACCTCAACCACCCTCATTCTTGAAATGATGAGGTGCCTTAATTTTGCCAGTCTTGCGGGTATTAAATGGTATCTTATTGTCATCTTAATTAGCATTGCACCAATTACTAAGGAGGCCAAGCATTTTTTTCATGCTTATTTTCCATTAGTGTATCCCCTTAAATGTTATGCCTTGTAACTTATTCTGGCAATTATTTTGTAAATTTGCCTATGGTTTACTTATAAATTTGTAATATTTCTTTATGTAAAATAGATCCTTACCCTTTGATAGAAAAAAAAAAAGAGAGAGAAGGGTAAAAGTCGTGGGAAACTTTCGGACCTAAGGAAAGACTGAGTTGGGGTTGGTGAGGGAAGTGGATGCTGGATGAAAATGGATAATTAAGCTTTGCTACTAAAGGTCAGGCACTGTAAAAGACAGGAAAGAACGGATGGAGAAGAGGAATTAATATGATTACTGTTTTAAAGATGTCTATATGGAACACATTCTTTGTGTTCAGTGTATCAAATGAACTGGAGACCATTCAGATCTTTGCACTGGTAAATACTTCAATATTAAAAAGGGAATATTATAGAGAAAACATTATTACCAAAAGAATAAACTTCTGTATTTGAAACTTGAAACAACAAATACAAATAAAGCATAAAAAACATGCATTGAACTGTGCTAACACATCGAGATTGCACTTAGCAAACCACCTTTTCTCTGTTTAGGAACAATCTCACCCATTCCAAAACACAGTATGTTAATTAAAGGATCTCAGGTAGCAATCATGGAGTATTTCTCATGACAGATGAAGAACACAAATATTCTGAGGACCAAAATTGCACAAGCAAAATGAAGAGACATTTTGTCCGTTTTTTGGCAGTGCAAAGTTAGAGTGAATGCAAATGAACGTGCTGGCAGCAGAATTACACTGTCGACCACCTAAAGATTGGGCTCATTACCTAAGAAGGCAAAGCATCAATCTGTAGCATTATAACATTTTGTTTGTACTGCTGAACACGTGTTTGGATATTTTTATATATTCTCTACTCATTTGGGTGCATAGTAAGCACATCAGCATCAGCCTCTTGATAGAAGCTTAATTCTGTGTTGTTTCTATTATATTGTTTTCTCTAATGGGAATGATATTCTCTCTTAAAAATAAATATGTCATTTATTCTTCAAATAATTCTGGGTTCAGGTTCTTTTGTTTCTCACAATGGCCTGAAAAGGATTACAGACACAGCTTAAAAACTGAGATATTCTTTGATTAAAAAATTTATATTTGAATAACATGTGAAAAAATATTCATTCGTTTAGTCACTCATTCTTTCATTCTTTCAATGTGCATGTATTGAGCTAAGCACAGTGGGAAGGTCAAGGATGGATGTGACATTGTCTCTGCCCTCAGGATGCTTATAACATAAAAGTAGTAAAATATTATTACTACCTTCAGACAGAACAAGCATAGGGCCATCAAGTCTCAGAGGAAAGAAAGAGCAGGGTATTCTTTCATTCCACAAATTAGTTTTTGATGTGCTAGGCACTATTCCAGGGACTGGATATATAAAAGGGAAAAAGATAGCCAAGGTCCCTTATTTCATTGACCCTGCATCCTGGGGGTGAGATGAAAAATAAGGAAGAAAACAAACAAATAAATAATATAACTTCAGGTAGCCACAAGTGCTATGAAGAAAACTGAAGCAGGACACTATGAAGGACAGTGACAGTAGGTGAGGGGTGTGACTTTGAGGGCACAAAACCCTCTGTTAGGAGGTGACAGCTGAGTAGAGATTTGATGGTGCAAGGAGCAAGCACTTGAAGATATGAAGAAAAGGCTTTCCAGGCAGACAGACCAATACAGAAAGGCTTTGAGGCAAAAATGAGTTTGGCATGTTCTGGAACAAAAAAGAAAGCCACATGACTGGAGTGTGGGAGAAAGGGAGAGTGACAGACGAGGTCATATTGGTGGGAAGGGGTCAGATCCTATTGACTTTCATACGTCATGATAAAGATTCTGTTCTAAGTGAGAAAAGGAATCCACTGGAGATTTTAATCAGGATGTGGCATGATCTGATTTACATTTCTTTCTGGGCGCCGTGTGGAAATTCAACTGTAAAGTGGTAAGAACGGTAACCAGGACAGAGATTAGGCATCTATGCATTGTCCAGGTGAGAGGACCAATGAGAACTTGACTCAAGTAGTCTGACCTAGAGATGACAGGTTAGAATCTATTGTGGTAGCCTGATTAGAGGTGGTTGGTGTGGACTAGGGTAATAATTACTAAGGCGGTGAGAAGTGGTTTCACTTTAGGAGAAGTTTCACAAAAAAAGTGATGCAGAACTGTTGAGTTGAGCTTTAAATGGCAGGCGGATTTGTGACAAGTGGGGAGTCATTCACTGATTTATTGAGTGCCTCCTAGGGTGCAGGCACTGTGGCAGGTTCTGGGGTTACAGCAGTGCAGGAGTCCTTGCTGAGAGTGAGGAGAAAACTTGCTGAGGAACTAATATTCTAAGTAAAGATACAAAAGTAGTGAGGTGAACAGTATGTTAATAAGAATTACCTCCAGATACAGTTTTAAGGATGCTTTATTCTTTTTCTTTTAGTTTAGAAAATTGTATGACTAAAACTCCTTTGTATGCTTGGCTTTCCTTGAATTTGCAAAAGTGGTTAAGTTTCTATCAGTAGAAACTCAGTTCATTGTCAGCTGGCAAATTTCATCATGTCACTTCCTTAGAAACAGTGGTTAGTATTTATCTTTCCCATTCTGAGAAGGAGAAATTATAGCCTTCTTAGAAAGGAAAAGCACAGAGGAGAATACAAAATATATAATAAATTCATATATTTAGGTGCATCTATTACTGTCCATCTGCTACCCTGCCTCCAATCTTGCCCCCTGAATCTTTTTCCAAGTGTATGACCTAACGTCAATATTCCCTCCTTCTAATTCCTCTTGTATACAGTCTCCAGAATTAACTGGCCTAAAGCAGTCTAGTCATGTCCATTCCCCTGTGCTTACAGAATAAATTTCAAATTCCTTAGCCTGATACCAACCTGACCCAACTTACTTTTTCTGTTTTAACTCTGACTCTACTCTCCAATTGTTTTAATCACATTGGATTTTTTTCTTCTTTTTTTAAAAATTATTTTTTAAACCATGGTGAAATAACAAAATGTAAAATTTACCACCTTAAACCATCTTGAAGTATACACTTTAGTGGCATTAAGTACGTTCACATTGTTGTGCAAATCCCATTGGATTTTAAATCACACGAGTATCACTGTTCCCCTAATGCTTTCGGCAGTTTGTTGCCTGGACCATACCTCTATCTATGTGATTCCTGCTTG